GAGACAGGATTGTAATGAAATTATGACCCGGTTCTGACTGGTTTAAACGGTACCAGCAACTCTAAAAAGAGTCTCCCAGGAATTCAATATTCATCAAGGAATAGAGTTCTTAATTTATTTCTTTATTGCCCGCTGCATCACGTAGAAAGGCTTTTTTCTGCACCGTATCATTTTCCTGACACGTCAGACCACATAAGATCCTTGAGATCACACTTAGTCCGCCATCTGGCCCCTTATCCACGTGATAGGCTGTGCTCCCCTCTGCGAAGGAGGAGTCTAGGCTCTATATATCTGTAATGCCATGGGACATCCGGCCCTTCCGGTTTCTTGATCTTGCGTCAAATTGAACTGAAGCCAGTGCAGTAACTGTATCTTTTTGCTGCCTTGTTTCAATACAATTGGTAAAACTGAATTCACGTTTTCCTTGATTTATTGAGATAGTGTGAGTTAATACTTCTGAGGGAGGCCAGAACCGGGTGCCTCCGGAGCTGGAGGTGGGCCTGGGGTCCGAGATAAGACCCGCAGGACACACAATGACCAGCAATAAGTTAAAAAAAAGCTGTAATTGAAGAGCTATACAATAATGTAGGCCATCAAGGTGTTGACTGCACAGTTTCTTTGATATATGACCACTTCTTCTGGCAACACATGCAGGCAGACATTGAGCATTATGTGACCAAAGTTTGTTTCTGTATCAAGCAAAAAAAGCCCAGTCATGACACAAGAGCTCCTTTAACAAATATTATAACTACACAGCCGTTTGAGCTGGTATGTACAGAAAAAGATTTGTAGTGTATGTATAGACTTTCTCCATCTTGAAAAATGCAAAGGTGGTTATGAATATATTTTAGGAATAATTGATCACTTCATGCGTTTCGCACAAGCCTACGCCACCACCTCCAAGTCTGGCAAAACTGCTGTAAACCTCATATTCATTGACTACGCCATGAAGTTCGGTTCGTATTCATCATGACCAAAGAGATGAGTTTGAAAATCAGCTATTTAGTCAGCTAAAAATCTCTGTTGCATGACCGGATAAAGAACAACACCCTATCGCCCAATGGGAAACAGTCAAGTTGAACGCATGAACAGAACATTGTTGCAAATGCTGAGGACGCTAACTGAAACACAAAAGTCAAACTGGAAATAATCTATCAACAAGCTAATGTATGCATATAATAGCACACATTGTGAAGTTACTGGCTACTCTCCATTTCCCTTACTGTATGGATGGTCACCAAGGCTACCAGTAGAGATGCTCTTTGGATTGTACTCAGAAACAGATTTTAATGACCACAGAGACTATGTTGAAAAATGGAGAAAGAGCATGGAAGAAGCATACACCGTAGCAAATGAGAATGCAAAGAAAGCTGCTGAAAAGAGCAAAAGACAGTATGACACAAGGAGTTCTGTGTTAGAATCTGCCGAGAGAGTTCTGGTCAAAAACTTGACTCCAAAAGGAGGTCCAGGCAAACTAAAGAACTTTTGAGAAGACACTATTCACACAGTAGTCAGACAAATGGACCCTGACTTCCCTATCTATGAAGTGAGACCAGCAAGAGGCAAAGGACGCTCTAGAGTACTTCACAGAAACTTGCTCATGTTATGTGACCACTTACCTTTTGAACAAGTGCAAAAAAATAACAATCCTAGACTAGAAAACACAAGCAGAAAACCTGCTCCAGTTCTACCAGACTCTGATGATGAGGACAGTGGATGCTGTCATTATGCACCACCTCAACCTCCTGTGCCCCATCCCTCAGAACTAAAGCTCTCCACAGTGATGCCTCAGCATCTAGCTCCAGCTCCTTCTGCTGCACCGCCACTAGAACCTCATGCTGAAGACCATCTGGAGGTGCCTGACCCAGCTGCTGTGGAGACAACTTGTAGATGGTAAATGGAATGGTAAATAGACTGCACTTATATAGCACCTTTCTATCTTATCGAGATACTCAAAGCGCTTTACACTACAATCTGAGTCCTCATTTATCCATTCATACAGCACTCTACTAGATCTCTACAAAGCTAACTGAACAAATCATTCTAAAGAGACTAATCAGAGCTTTAGATCACATTCATACACCCATGGGACACACATCGGAGGCAACGAGGGGTTCAGTGTATTGCCAGGGACACTTCGGCATGTGACTGCTGGTGGATTTGAACCCACAACTCCTGCATTGGAGGACGACTGCTCTAACCACTCAGTCACAGCCACCCCTTGTGAGCAGGCCAAACCTGCTGCTGATGACCCAGCTGCCCCTCCACCACCTGCTGCACCCGAGGAACCCGAGGAGGAGACACCCCAGTGGCCACAGCGAGAGAAACACCTGCTGAGATGGATGACGCAAACTGGGTACTCCATCCTGCTACAGTGTCCAGCCAGCACCACAACTGCTTCCCATGTACTCAGGCCTGGTCCCATGGTTTCCAGCTCTGCATGCATACTACACCCAGCCCATTGGTGTGTACGGACTCCAGCAGATGTCAGCTGACACTTTTCCATTAATGAATACTGTACTTGCAGACTGTCATCGAAACAAAGACTTTCTTTCTCCCTATGGATTACAGTACTCTCTCGTTTATTGCGGGGGATCTGTACCCTGTAGCCCCGCAATAAGTGAAAAACTGCGAAGTAGGAATAGTAGTACAAGTAGTTTATTTTAGTATATATATATATATATATATATAT